CTTTTTCGAAAAACTTCGGGATTATTTGAAAAAGTAGGAAATTTTTATACAGTCTATACCCTTTGTACGAAAATAAGTATTCATTGCATAGCTTATTGACACTCCTACAGATGTATGCTTTGCTCACGCCACTAACAGGCTGTCTACTTTACACCTACTTGCTTATGAAAGAAGTTGTGCTAACTATTGAGGCAAATTTTTATGATCTCGTTGAATGAACAGATATCATACTGTTCAAGGAAACCTGCGATGCCACGTACGGAGATTGTATCTGCTGTACTTTGCATACTGCAAGTGAGCTCAGTATTCGAAGTTTTCTTCGATTTAGCATGGCCCTTCTTAACAACCTCCTAGATGATTCAAATAAATCTTCGAATTAAACTCTCGCTTATTGCTATAAAATCCTTATCAACTACTCGTCCTCATGGTGTATTGATGGTACTCAACTTTTGTTTTTTACTTAATGCTTTACCTTTTTCTTCAACAGTTAACATTAGTAGGAAAGGTGCCGCCTGCTTTCTGCTACCCTGTGAGCATCAGTGTTATGCCCCTATCTTCAATTTTTCGCCGTTATCATAACAAGAGGAAGACCAGACCCTATCTGGTAATTCCCGCTAGCTTGTTCTTTTTTTATTGCTTCGTTGACTTGGAATTTTTAGTTGATCTGCGAACCAAACTAAAACTCATGAATTGAAAAGAGTTATGAGATTATTTGCCCGGCAAGAAACTTCCTTCTTCTTTCCTTCTAATCAAGCGTACTAGGTTTGCATATCTCTCACATACGTAAGGTCCCTAGCCTTCGAGGTAGTCGAATTTATTTACTTAATATCTTTCCCTTCGTTTTACCCCGTAACTTCTTCCTACCATTATTTTTTCTCCCGTCTTATCGTGGGCATGAATCAATATTTCAACGATGTTGTCTGACATTGTTCGCAGTTTTTGGAGTCATCAACGAAACTTGACCGTTAGATTTGATCATGACATTGGGATCTAACTGATGAATATTCTCCTTTACTCACTGACGACCGTACGAGCCACGTATGGATGCGCAGAGAAGTTTGAAGACCATTCTTTTCAAATCGCCTATGTCGCTCCATTTTGGACTTTTATAAATTTCAATGTATGTAACAGGTGATCTATCTTCAAACAAAACTAATACAAGCAGTGGTCAACGAAATTCAAAGAGAAAGCGCGCTGGTTTCCTGCGCCAGCACTGTAAGAATGCGCGGTCGTCAATGACTTACAATAGATTGTCACTTATGTTTGATTTTTCATCATTTGTACCCCAATAGGATTTTTTGTTTTCAATCTTAAACAAAACAAACATTCATTAATTAACTATTATAATGAATTCTTGAACAAATCTTGTACATCTCACCTGATCAGGTGTTTGTGTTTTTCTTAGATTGCTTGGGAGAAGAGAGCGTCTGCTTAATAATGAAATTTCATTCCTACCTCGCTTACAGTGGAGCGTGGCATATTGTTGCATAATTAGACCTAATTTCTTGCTAATTATCCATTTACAATAATCTCGTTTTATAACTTTTAGAATCTCTAACATGGATTTTGCTGCAATACTTGAGGTATCAGCTCTTGATTGGGTGCTCATAGTGCTGTTGCTAGTGCTCTTCTATAGATGGATACGAAGACAAGCTGAGCCTGAAGTGACGCCACCAAAGCCACACGTTGTGGGTTACTGAAATTTTTTTCCTTTTCTTTCCTTTTCCTTAGCCTAACAGAAGCCCTATTGTAAGACTGTTGGAATTAACCTTCTTATACATTATATTATTCTTGCATACCATCTATAGTGTATAGATTTGATTTGAAAGCTATTTTAGTCAAACGAATACTTCATTAAAAGGTTAATCAAGCCTGGGGTATCGCATTGAGCGCGCGAATCATGGTTATGTTCTACTTATGCAAAGTGTTTCTACTTAACAATAGAAATCTATGTGTCTAAGTATCTTCAGGTTCCGCCTCTTCCCAAGCAAGATATGACGCTGAAAGAACTGAGAAAGTATGATGGAGTCCAGGATGAACACATATTGTTTGCTCTGAATGGAACGGTCAGCTTTTGTTTCTTTCTGAATTTTCAAGCTCTTTATTTTGTAACTGTTTGTTCAAGATTTATGATGTGTCACGCGGACACACATTTTATGGACCTGGGGGCCCATATGGTGCTATGGCTGGAAGGGATGCAACCAGAGCTCTTGCCACAATGAATGTGAAGGATGTTAGGGATGAATGGGATGACCATGAGGATCTGACAAGCGATCAGAAGGTAGAAAGCTTCTATATCTTTCCCCTCTGTTTGTTTCATTCTTCATTTTCCAGGAAACCGCAAATGAATGGGAATCGTCTTTCAAGTATAAATACCCAACAGTAGGTAAACTAGTCAAAGAAGGCGAAGTTCGTGTTGACTATGGAGGAGCAGTTTCAGCCATACCAGCATAATTTCTCTTGCTTTTCTCGTTTCTGCACTCTCTGCTCTAATAACATCTCAAGCTTGATATGTATACACTTACTTAACAGGTATAATAACCCGTTTCAAATGTGATAATCACTGTGAACTTTTTAGTTTGGTATTGTTAGTGATGAGTTTTTATCTTGCTGTGATGATCTGCTAATAAATATTCTAAAATTTTTGTTCTATTTTGGTTCAAAGACGTTTCTCGCCGTATATCAACTTATGGCAAAAATTTGTCTTGATTTGCAGATATTTAAGAGCGTAATCAGCTTTTTTTTCATGTATTTTTTCGTGTAACCAAAGAAAAATGGACAAATTTTCTCGAGCCGATGTGATAAATAGCACTTTTTAAAGGTTTTTTGAAAATACCACGTTATGATTGAAAATCACAAAATCACAAAT